ATAAGAACATGATTTCCAAAGAGGGAAAAAACACATATGTCACCATGCTATTCGCTGATAAAAAATAATAAGATATTTCAAAATTTATTTCTTTGGCCTAATAATAAGCTGTATTTCATTACATTAAAAAAATTTATACTATTTCACTAGTTCTGTTAACCCCATTTTCTTTATCTCATCGATCTCTTAGAAGTTAGAAGATCAGAATCACTCCAGAATAATTTGCAGAGCTTTGTCCATTCTAATAATGTCATCCTTTTCTTCTTCTTATGAAAAGAAATCGGAGATGAAAATAAAAGGGAAGTGAAAACCATCTTCCCCACCATTAAAACCTTCTCCACCACCGTTGAAATCTAACCCAATTACCACCACTAAAGCTAACTCCTCCTCCCTCTCTCTCGCTCTTCAAAGATGGGAAAAACACACCACATAAAAACTCATCACAAATCAAAACCTACAGAATAATACAGACGACCGACATTTAGGATCATCGCCGGCGTGGCTTTATTGGAGTTTCAGATCTTCTCCGACGTGCTCTCCATCAGTTTTTGATCTTCGTCTGTCTCCATTGGCTTTTCATCTCTCTTTCACATTTAGGTATAGTGTTGAGTTAATCCGGGTGCTTTGGCCTTTTGTTTTGGACCGTTAGATTTCAAATAGAAGTTAATTAGGTTTAATGATTTTTCCTTTTTTTTTTTTTTTTTTTTTAATTTCATCTTTTGCCTTCAGGGGAAAAAAAAAGAGGGAAAAAAAAGAACATGTTTGAGAGGGTTTCTTACAACACACGTGTCATCCTTTCAATGTGTCACACAATCATATGTTTGGTCAAACTCAGTAAATCGTCGGAAATTTAAACAGAATAATGACATTGCTATTAAAAAAAATATTTATGATTCAAATTAAAATAAAAAAATATTTTTTTCGACCGAAATTTCAGAGAGGAAATTGCAAGGTAGTATAGATTGATACTAGTTGCTTGCCCGCATTACGCTGTGGGCCGATAAAAAGGAAATTATTTTAAATTTTTAAATTTTTTAATTAATTTTTAATTTTTTTTATAAATTTTCTGTTTAAAAAAACATAAATCATTTTTTTTATGTATTGATTTTAGAATTAAAAAATATAATAATTTTAATAAAAATATTGATCAAGAATTAAATAAACTTTTAAAATATAATTTTTCATAATATTGTATTCCAAAAAATAAAGTTATAATTAATAGACAGTACTTTTACAAAAATTAACAAATAAAAAAATCTTATTTAATACTAATAAGAAGATTAATTTTTAAAATTATCCGTGTAATGCTACGTGCGGATAGAACAAAATTATTTAAAAATTTTATAATTTTTTCATTATTTTTTATTCAATTATTACTATTTTTTTTTGTGTGTTTTTCATAAAATTTTTGCTTAAAAAAATTTGACTTATTCTTCTTTATTTAGGGATTCTTAAATAAAAACTTGTAATAATTTAAACCTGAAATATTAATTAAGAATTTAAAAGCAAATACTTTAAAATTATATTTTTTTATAAGAAGATATCCAAAAAATAAAGTTACAATTAATGTATAAACTTGCACAAAAATAACCAATGAAAAAATAAAAATTTATTCTTATTTAATGCTAGTGAGAATATTATTTTTTTCAAGTATATGCATTAGATCTATATATATTTATTTACAAAATAATCAACAAAATTAGCATAAAAAACTATATTTGAATAATTGGTTGGTTCATTTAAAAAATTATTTTAATTATTTTATTTCAAATAAATTCGTTCTTTAATGTTAAAAAAAATAGTTATAGTAAATAATTTGTATTATGTTGGAATATATATACTTAATTTTTAATAAAATCAATGATTCAATAGTTTTTTAATTGTCTTGATTATACATAGTGAATTAAGATAAATTATTTGAAATACACTTTTAACCTTTTAGAATAAAATAATTATATATTTATATATCCGTAACTATCATTTAAAAATTTTAAGAATTCATGATATATATTACACCAATTTATTTTAAAAAAAGAAAAAAAATCATATTTTAAAATTTTATTCTAAATTTCAAATATAGAGAAACATAAATTATATTTATTAGTAAATAAAATCTTATATAAAAAAAAATATTAATTGGATGAGATTTTCATAAAAAATGATAAATTCAAAGAATGAAATTTAAATGATAAGAGTAATATAAGCTGAAGTATATGTTAATTTCAAAATATAAAAAGATAGTGTGTGTATGTGTGTGTGCTATGTGAAAATGAAAGAAAAATAAAAACTAAAGATTGAAAAAAAATGTTACAACATGAAGGACGAAAAATAGAAAAAAAACATTAAATTTGCATATTAATGCCTAAAAACACACAAAAAACAACACACAAAAATTTCTGAAATTGCCATCAAGTGAATTGTAATTTTACGCATATGAACAACAAGTGAAAATGAATTTTAGACATATGAATAGTTCAAATTCTCGAGTCATGTCGCGGACCGAACTAAACATATTTATTTTTGTTGAATAATATATATTATGTTATCGGTTAATTAAAATATATTAAATTAAATATTAAAGATAAATTTTCATCTAATTTTACAATTTTTAATCAAAAAATATATATATGTTTTGAATAAATTTTGAAGTAATAAAATATGATTTGTTCTTTTTTATGCATTTATTCTTAAATAAAATTCATAATAAACAAATTTTAATATAAAATTTTTCCAAAAAAATCTTAATATTTTTTTCATTATATTGCATCAAAGAAATAAAATAACAATTAATATAAAAACTTGTATGAAAATTAACAAATGAAACTTTTTTACCGATGAGAAGATTTTTTTTTTAATATATACTTTTGATATATATATGTTTTGAATAAATTTTGAAGTAAAAAAAAACATGATTTATTTTTTACGGATTTATTCTTAAATAAAATCCATAATAAACAAATTTTAATATAATTTTTTTAAAAAAACATCTTAATATTTTTTTCATTACATTGCATCAAAGAAATAAAGCAACAATTAATATAAAAACTTGTATGAAAATTAACAAATGAAACTTTTTTACTAATGAGAAAATTATTTTTTTAATATATACATTTGATTTATATTTATTTATTTACAAAATAATATTAGTATACAAAATTGTATTTGAATTATTAGGAGGTTATTCTAAAATATTATTTCAATTATTTTACTTAGAAAAATTATTTTAAATATTAAAAAAATAATAGGGTTGTGAACGGTCACAACTCACCTCTTTTAGAGTCTTCTATAATAAAATATTAATTAGAGGAGCAAAGAGTGTTCTAAAATTTCAATTTATTTGTTGATTTTTTTTCCTTGAAAACGTGTTTAGTAGTTATGAAGTCAATGACTATTAAAGATTAAAAAAAAAGAATTAAAAATAAACATTTTTTATGATTAAATAATTAACTAAATTTAATTGCTTAGCCTAATATTTGGTAGTTCGGTATATGTAACCATACTGGATGGGACGAGATTGAATTAAAATAAACAGAATATTATAAAACATGATGGTGTTAATTCATTCCATTCGAAGATTAGATTGAAAAATTGCGTACTATTTGCCTCTTCTCTTCCCTAACATAAAACGACACAACCATCCCGTGCAAAGGAATTATGACCGGAGTAGTTTGTTTGGGCCATCCATTCCATCTCATCTGTTAAAACGATGTAGTTTTGACAAAAAAAAATAAAATTTTAAGTGATATTTGTGATTCTATCCAGCTTAGTCCTTAACGTTTAAATTTATGCATTTTGGACCTGCATGACCCATATGAAATAATATTTCACCAACAAGTCAAGTATTTTTGTAATTATTTTTTTTTCGGTCCATTAACTTTAAGTCTATTCTACATTAGTCGGTGGTTAAGAAAGGTTGCTCTTTTTTTTTTTTTTTTTTGCTTTTTCAATTAAAAACTTAGAGTTAGTATCCAAAAGAATTTATTAATTTTTTAAAATACACCAGGCCGACATGAGAGATGCATTCTTAAGATCATCAAAAAAAAAAAAAAAAAGGACTCGATCGACAGACAAATTGACTCGAGGATATCATATCGTCGAAGAAAAGAGAAAAATCTTTTCAGTAAATCCTTACATATTATGCATTTTGGTAACATTAGACTACCAACTTCAGATTTAGTGAATATAATCCGCATGTATGGAATGATGCAAACTAGTAAAAAAATTGATAAGCGAGACTATGAGATTTGTCCATGAAAATTTAAATTAATTATATAAATTATGTTTATTTCAATAATGAACCTTTAAAATTATTTATTTATTTTTCTTTCTTTTCCTTATAAATCTGATAAATTATAGTTATATGATGGATTTCTTATTTTGTTTTATGAAATACATTTTAAGATTTTTTTTTTTGTGAGAATGCGAATTAATTCTTAAATTTTTTTTTTTGAGAATGAATTTTTAATAGTTTATAATTTATCTAAAAAAAGTTAAACTAAAAAATAATATTTTTTTTAACTTTTGATACAAAGAAAAGTCATAAATGTATTTGGTTAGAAATAACTTTTGACTTAAATAAAAAGTTAGTTATAGAAATGAGTCAAAATTTTAATTTAATCGAAAGTTAAAATTTTTAACTTTCAACTTATGAATTACAGCTTATACTACTTTCTTTCTTAAAAAAAAAGTAACTTTAAATTATTTTTATCAAATATAATTTTAACTTCAAACTATTTTAATTTATTTCTCACAAATTATTTATGAAAAACAACTTTTGAATTATCACTTAAATGTTTTTTTTTAATATTCTTAAATGAATAATCTATAATAATTCCCAGGCAACGCACATGCCAAAAATATCAGTAAGACAAAAAGCCAAGAAATATATATCCAACAAGATTACATGAGGAATAAGTTCAATATGGACAATCATATATAGGAGAGAGCCTAAGGTCTTAAAATTGAGCATCGAAGTTGAATATCAGAAGCTGGCAACGTCTTTACCTTCTTTGGAAGTTCAGTTTTGCTATGGCAATTCCAAAAGTGAGTGCAAAGAGAACTGGAAAAGCAAGAAGAACAACGGCCACAACACCTAAATCATCATGTTTATACCCAAAATAACTTTGTAAGAAGGAACTGATTGATTTCCGCTCTCCATATACTGTAATTTCCTTTTCTATATCACCAAACTGTGATGTAAGAAGGCCTTTCAAGGACCATGCAGTTGGACAAATCCAATAACCCCAGGCCCACCATCTAGGCATTTTCTGCAAGATTTTATGTGTTCTTGGTGAGAAATATGGAACATACTTTCAGGATAAAAAAAAAAACATCTTCTGCAACAAATACAAATGTATAATTGCCAACACTTTGTATCACTAGTGTAGAGTCAGAGAAAAGAAAAAAAGAAAAAAAGGGAAAAGGCTGGAGAATTTCTTGGTTTGCAGATATAGACAAATACTGTTTTCACCAAGTGAAGCATTAGAAATTGTGTGCATACTCAGAATGGTTAATTTGTTCCTTTTATCATTATTGTGCAGATTGCAAATGCTGCTAGTTGAATTTGTCTAAGATGCTACACTGGTAAATGTGTGTCATGAGCAAAGATGTAATTGGCTTACCGGTTCAGGTATAAGGAAGCCTGAGAACAAAGTCATCAAGGTATAGCAGAAACTTGCCACTATTGAAGCCGTCTGGAAAGTTGGGGTCAACGAGACAAGCAGCAATCCCAAGTAATTGAAATAGAGCAATGAGCAAAATGTTGAGTAGAAGTACCAAAATACTTTGTAAGCTGAGCAGTAGAAATTAATTGCTGGATATGTAATTATCAGAAACAGCACAGCCTGGAGGAATGTGTATGGAATTTCTACAATCACCTGCACTTTTGAAATAATAAGTTTGTGTGAAATTTTGCAAGTTCTATAATCTTATATTGACTGATATCATGGAAATTAATGCTGATTTTTTCTGGTACTATCTTTGGACCTGTGCAAATGAGTATGCCCATGGGGAGTACATTCCAGCAAACCTTTCTCGGTATACAATGGTGCGTTCAGTAGCTACAAATGGCAGAACAGATGAACAGTTGTTTACTCCTGCGAACTGCACAAACACGAAAATAGATCCCAGTATGTCGAAGAAGTCCTGTTCACCGTTTCTTCAGAATAAGGATCACAGTTAGCTTTTTCTATGAGATAGTCAGGATTAACGCTGCTGATAAATGCGACTGTAGAATAGCTTACATTTTCTGTCCTTTCTGCCAAAGAAGTGCTCCGAATATCAAAGAAGAAACGATGATAAATATCAACCGAACCAAGTTATATTTAGGGCTTCTCCAGTAAGACAACTCTTGTTTCCAAAGACATGCCTTAAATTGTTGCCAAGCATTTTGTGGAAATCGGGTAGAAAAATGCAATTCCTTGGAACCCTGTGCTGGAAGGCTCAGTCTATTAACCAACTCTTCATTTTTCCTACATCAGGCAGGAAAATATGACTTGGCTAATAATTATTTGTTTCTGTTTCTTTTTTATCAACTGACAAGGAAACACTTGTCAAACATAAATAATGCAAAGCTTGCGATCTAGAATGTGCTCCACTCGTTCATATATATAGTTAAGCTTACTCGAAGAGATGGGATTCCTTGTAGAGACGTGCAAAATCTAAACCAAGTTGAGTTTCTGTAGAAGAACTGGTAACCTCTAACATCCATGTTGCAGGGTTGTAATTTTCTTTGATTTTGGGAACTCCAGGAATGCACTGCAATATACATGTACAAAAATGAGTAAATAATAAATGAATTAAATAGACAAAGTAGGTTCATCTCCAAAATTTATTTTCAGATATTGCTCATAAATAGATACATAATTACATACAGATCAGCTACACATACATAAACATGCCTATCAGTCCTCGGAACTTTATCTTTGCCCCTTTTTTTCTTTAATGAACTAAAATGCCGGAGAAAACGCATAATGGACAATGAACCTGGAAGATTATCATTGTATGTGTATCAATGCTCACCTCAAAATACTCAATAAGCTTACTTGAATTCTGACCAAGCTCTCCAGAATATATCATTTGTCCTCCTCTTTTCATCAAAATGAGCTGCAAAATTATTTTTTATAAATATAAACCGACTGGATATGGCACTGCATTATCTGTACTAAGCACTTCAGCAGTCAAAAACTGCATTTTCCTCGCATCTTATACTCGTATAGAATAAAAAAGGACCATATGCAAATATCAAGGAGATCTGATTAGTCTTGCTTAATGCTTACACTGAGTTCCTAATCAACTACTTATATTGCTAATAAATTTTATTTTTGATTGATCACAACTATTATGCTTGATCTTTTACATGTGCCCTATAATCAGTGGATTTTCTGGCCCAGCAAGAATTCAGTCAGCTCAGTGAAAGTTTTCAGATTGCTAAGTTTTCGTTTTTGATATTGCATACTGCATACTTTCGTGTGTGAGCAATACCCAATTACCTCATCAAATGCCACAAGGACATCAATACTTGGCTGGTGAATTGTGCACACAACTGTCCTGTTTGTATTAACAATATTCTTCGCAACTCGCATGATGATTGCAGCTGCTCTAGCATCCAGACCAGAGGTGGGTTCATCCATGAATATTATAGATGGGTTGGAAACAAGTTCTACGGCAATAGTTAGCCGTTTTCGCTGCTCAGTAGATATACCACTAACACCAGGGAGGCCAACCAATGCATCTTTGATTTCATCAAGCTCAATCATTTCAATAACTTCTGCTACAAATTCCTGCAGAATGAAATGATGATAATTCTTAAATTTGTGTACATGCTACTACCAAAGGCTAATGTGAGAAGATCTCCTGAATATGCACCATAGATGCTTTCACAACAAATTATTCATATCTATAGATTTATTGTTTTCTATTGATGAGAACTTATCGAATCTTGTCACTGTTTAACCAGTCTTACATTATTTACTTTAAATGTAAATTCAATTTGAGCTTAGACTCTAACTGGCTTTCTCAGGCTGGAATTTTTTATTTTTATTTTTTAATTCACGCTCTCAAGGCTCCTAGCAGAATTAATCTGTTAGGATTTGAACGAATGTTGTGTTTGGTAAAGAAAGACATTAGGAGTATTATTTAATAACTAAAGAACACGAATAGTTCAAATGAGGCATCTTACAGATCTTGTCCTTCTGTCAATCTGAGCTGGCAACCGCAACCAAGCTGAGTACATTACTGACTCTTCTACTGTAATCTGTGGAGAATGAATATCTGTTTGTTCACAATAACCAGATATTCTAGCATAGGTCTTTTGGATTTTAGGGTATCCTCCAATTCTTATCTCCCCTTCAATAATACCACCTGTTTTTCTTCCAGAAAGAACGTCCATTAGTGTTGTTTTCCCAGCTCCACTAACACCCATCAATGCTGTAAGAATCCCAGGTCTGAAGGCACCAGTGATATCATGAAGAAGCTGTAGCCTTTTGTGAGGAAAACCTTGCTTTTTCAGTATCTGAGTTACACATGCTTGAAAATCAATCAGCATCTACTATAACCACCAACCTAGGAAATCCTGTGTTAATGAACTGTGTGGTTACCTTAGGAGTGTCAACAAAATATTGCACATTCTGAAAGGATATTGTTATGGGCTCAAAAGGCAAAACCATTCCTGCAATACAGATGGAGTCACCATGCATGGATATTGCAGTAATGTAGAAAAACATTATTTTGATCAGTTTTTATTTTATTTTATTAATATCCATCATCTTCAAGGACTTTAAAATACTGCACAACAATAACAGTTCTCACTGATATTCTCCTTTTCTGCCGCAGATTTTGGTGTTTCAGGCGATGCTTTTTCCTGAGGTATGTTGGCTAAATCTTGTTTTCTCTTGAGATTGGAGAGCGTTTCTTGGGAAATTATGGTCCGAGATCTCCCAGGGGCTGCAAATTTCCAGTTTATATAGACGAGAATGAGGAATCAATTGGATCTCAATCCGCATGATAATATGAAACTTACCTTTCGAATAACTGAGTGCACAGGTGAATCCAATGTTGAAAACTATCCAAAATCCAATTAATCCTGCAAAAGATATCCAATAAAAGTAGGTATTGAAGTCTAGTCCCCGTCCTTCGAGAACTTGCTGACCTATTGTAATATTGGAAGATGAAACCTGCAAGAGACAATAATCAGTGAAGAACCACAGGAACAAGTATTTCCTCCTCGATTTATCGAGTATTTAACCTCAGTAGAAGTAATTCAGGTTTCACCTCTTGCCACCTCGGAGCAAGGAATTCGTTTAAAGATGCACCAATTTCAGCATATGCCAGTGGAGAGAGCCAAAAGCCCCACCTCAACCAAGGAGGTAAAGAAGCTGCAGCAAGGAAAGACTTTATATCATTGATTCAAGTGACCAATGTTTGTGGAAACTTTATGTTAAAGTCAAATGGCCTTACGTTGTTTAATTACAAATCCACCAAATAGAAACATGATTAATAGAGCGAGAAGACCATATGTTGATGCAATAGATGGATTCGGAACCATGGAAGCAATAAAACGGAACATTGATATGGACATTTGATGAACAAGGAAAAGAAGAAAGAACTGGTAGAAAAACCTGGCAGTCATTTAAAACAAGAAGAATTAGAATAGAACATAATTCCGCTGTTTACATAATTGAAATGACATGTCTACAAGAAAACACCTTTCTGGTTCAGGACTGAAACCGATTCCGTAATAGGTAAGAGCTGTCCAAAGAAAAGCGTCTAGCAACGAAAAGGGAATCTTTAAAATGGCAGCTGGAACAGAATAAGCCCACGAAGGATAAAAGTAGAAATCCCTTTGCTTGTAAAATACTGGCATTCTCTGTACAGTCAATGATAATTCGGCAATTCCATTGCTCATTAGTCTAATGAGAGCATAATACAAGGAACCCATGTAGAGGTTTGCATGGACCATGTCAATATTCATCCGACTACGTATGAACATTGTCATTGTCATTAATGCAATGACTACAAGCTGCACGATTAAGAAAAACCAAGGTGTCACATTTTGCTGATCACTTTAGAGTGCCAGATAAAAACATATTAATAATTCTGTCACAATTAGTCATTACCTGTACTGATTTGAATACATAAACAAATGAGTTGCGCCTCATAAGCAGCCATTCTCTATCCATGCAAGCTTTGAATAGTTCCCATTTTCTTAAGGAGTAAATGTTGAAGGAAAGAGCATTTTTATGGCTTTCAGATTTCTTTAAAGGCCTGGAGAGGTCCTCTTCGAGCTTTTGTCCCACATGAAATTCCTGGAACATATTCACAAGCATATTGATAGACACATAACTATGCGGTTGGTGATTATGACACCAGTACTGCCCTTGATCCTTTTCAGAAACTACCTGTGAATAAGGGAAAAAAACGTCTAGGTGGAAAAACATTTTGGGGAAAATGTTCCAGTAATGTTAAGTGAATTAAGCAAGGTTACATACTTCTTGAAGGAAGTCAGCAATGCCCTTTCGTGACGGGCACCTAAAACCGCAGTGTTCAAAGAACTTCAGAACATTATCTCGAGGCCCATGGTATACAATCTTTCCCTCTGCCATCAAGATAATGTCGTCGAAGAGATCAAAGGTCTCAGGAGCTGGCTGAAGAAGTGAAACCAACATTGTGGACTTTGTTATGTGTGCCAATTGTTGCAGACAGCTAACAATTTGGAAGGTGGTTGAGCTGTCTAAGCCATTGGATATTTCGTCCATAAAGAGAGCTTTTGTTGGACCGATCATCATCTCCCCTGGCAGAAGAGAACAACAGAAACTTAAATTTCAGAGGAAATGGATTCCTGTGACACCTTGCTGTAGTGCTATACAAATTTCCAGTAGAGGCTTCTATGATTTTTCTAGATATAATATCTTCAGTGTTCTTAAACACAATTAGCAGAAAGTGCCACAAAAATAATAAATTATTTAAACTTTGCAATTCACCCAACCTGTTGTTAGCCGTTTCTTTTGACCACCTGAAATTCCGCTCCTCATTGCATCTCCCACAATTGTATCAGCACAAATGTCCAGCCCAAGGATCTGTAATGCCATAAAGAATGGAAGTCATAGTCAATGGAGAGGATAGGAGCTTGCTCATTGAGACTTCCTTTGTTATAGAGAATCACCTTCAATATATAGTCTGTTTGGATAGTCCTTTTCAATCCTTCAATTGAAGTTGCCTGTTCGTAAAGATTGTCAGCTGAGATTACTACCAGACAGCATGAACCAAGCTGCCTCGAATTTGAGATCATGATAAAGAGTTCGTTTCTTTTGTTATTTTTTACCTTCATGTAGGTGTCTATATCTGGTTCTGGGACAATGCCAGCTTGCTTCTCCCTTCTACTGATTTCTTTCATAATATCTTCAACAGTAAACAGCTGCTGGATCAATTTAAGTCTGTAGGAATGATTACCATTACGAGATGTGGAAAGTGCCTACCTGCTCTGCCTCCAATGCCTTGACAACGAGCAGAAAAGTCTAGAGTTTCCCTCACGGTCATTTCAGAAATGAGCTCGTCATATTGGCTTATATAAGCTGATGTCTTCTGAGGCACAAACTCATTGAATTTGTAACCATTGTATGATATTTCCCCCTCGACCTAAAATAGTATTTTGACATGCAAATCAGTTATTGATCTATATCATACTTTTTAACAATTTGTAATTTCATCATTAGTTTTATTAATAATTTCCCAGTTCTTTCCCCATAGTTGGTGACAGTTCTATACAGATGGTTCGTGTTGTTTTTTGGCATGGATTTTTATGCTCAAGTAAGAGACCTTCAAGGACTGATCGAGCTTCCCTGTAAGTGCCTGTAATAAAGTGGTCTTCCCACAGCCTGGTGGACCAAGCAATAGAGTCATCCTGCATGGAAAGTGAGTTAATTTACGCACGAAGTCCAATAAATATAATTATTCATAAGAAAGTTGATCCTCGTTGCACAAATTAGTAGTACTGAAAACCAATGGGGAACATCATGAACAGATGCATCAAGAGTGCATTATTGTGTTTGAACCTTGAAGGCTTGATAATGCCGTTGACATTTTTGAGAATTTTAATCTTGTTTGGTACAGACTTGCATCCAGCAATATATGTCATACCCTGTCAATAGAAGATATTTCTTTCACCATCAGAATTTGCAACTGGGATTTAAAAAAAAAAAAACAAAAAAACACAAGGTCAACCCAATCGATCACTATCAAGTACATGGTGAACTTGGAGTCTTTTTTTCAAAGCATTCTTGCTCTAGTCATCGTATTGTAAATGCAGTCAAGTTGTATTTCTCCTTAACAATGAAGTGCTTCAGCACTGATATTTAATGCTTAAAAACCAATTGATGCTAAGTACTAAGACAGAGAAAATGAAACCCCCAGACATGATGTAACCTGCTGGCCAATAGAAGAAATTTCCTTTACCAACAAAGGTTAAGCTATTATATGCTAGACGAAGTATAACAAACAAAACCAAGTTAGACCAATAGATTTAATGTCAGCATTTTGAGGTGTATTATTTTGTCTGTACATAAGTGTCGTTACATGAGACAGATTATTTTATAACTTGGTATTCTAAGTTAAAATGCAGTCAACTCATCCTTCCCTCTAAAAACAAGTTTTCCAAGGTACAGAATATTCAGTGCTCAAACAATGATCAAAACTGCCTAGCGAAGGTGTACGTTATGAGATCAAGAACCTGTGCCAAACTGCACGACATTTTCAATATTATTTAGAATTGTTGGGAAGGAATCTGTCTCCCAATCCATGATTATTAGAATTTTTTACACTTCTCTTTTAGTTTGAGCAAATTTCAAATGAAGGATCAATAGTTGGAGATTCTTGGAATCACTGAAGAACCAAATTTATAAACACAATTAAGAATGTGAGGGCAAAAAAAGGGATGATACTTGCCCCAAACGCATTTTTGAGGGTGTTCCAAAGAGTAGGAAAGGGCTTTCCTTGAACCACTTCATATTCTGCCTCCACAGACAAATTCTGGTATCTCACTTCCACGGTTGGCAATTCCAGACCCACCCTGAAGAGCAAACATCAGTACTGACATATAATAATACATACCCACCGTGGCTGCATATGTATGCACAGACAAAAGATATATGCGCGTCCACATCCATGCATGTGTCATTTATCAATAAATAACTAATCTCTCTCTCTCAAGCAATAAGTACTATTCAGTGAATGCCATCATTTTTTTTTTCAACTCCTGCTGGAACACTATATTGTAAATTCCTATTTTTTTCCTTCAACATGCTTTGTCACTGTCTGTAAATTTATTTTCTCAATATAGCTCCTTTCTTAATGTCAGCAAAAGGGGAACTTTCTATTGTCTAATACAATGCATCATGAAAGGGCCGGGGTACTCCTCGCTAGCCAATGCAACATGTGGCTATAGATTATACGTATGCTATCAGAAATTTCCCATGGATTAAGAGAAAGTAGTTCGTGAGTAGCTCATTGGTCTGAGGGCGGATGGTGAGATTACAGAGGCTGGATTGAGGAGTGTGAAACTGAGGTGATAGAAAGAATATTATTTATGTTGTTTGGGTGGTCTGGGGGGCTCTAAATAGTTTGATTTTTGTTATGGTGAAATGACTGGACCAATCCAAATCATTCTGTATGCTTTGGAGTTTATAAGTCTGTATCTAGAGTTTACAAAGGGGATCAAGTATGGCGGTCTTACCCCAATCTATATGGGCATCGTCTGCTATGGTCATGTGGCCACATGGTTCTGTCCCACAAAAAAGATCATGCCATTGAATCAAAACTTCCACTATTCATATAAGTTCAAGACCAATCTAATGATACACATCTAATGTAAGATCGTGACATGTAAGTGGAATTTGTTGAAGCTCAAACAATTTTATTCAGACTTAAGCTGGAAAGGATGCAGGCTTGCTTGAATTAGATATTGGAAGTGATAGTTAGAATGTCATCCCAGCCCAGAAGCAGACACCATTGACAATTTGTATCGGACTCACTATTGAAGAATTAATATAAAACTATTTTTGAGATCTTGCTCAAAAACACAAATTTTTAGAATTAAAATAATTTTTTGATGTAATATTAGAGTATTATAATTAAATAACTAAGGGGTTAAAAATTCGAACTCTACCAACTTTATTTTTAGGCTTGTGCAAACTTGAGTCTAAGAAATTTACTTAATTGAGTGTTTTAGAGAATTTAAATAAAATTATTATTTGATCCGATCCAAAAGTTTAAATATTTTGATTAAAATGATTCTTTAACACTTACGCTATAATTAAGGATGAAACTTTCAACTTCATTCAGCGACAAAATAAAAAATTAATTAGCTCATTATCTAGCTCACAGTGCATCAGGGAACCAAGAGATTGCCATTTTTCTAGGATCTATTTAATTCTGGGTTTACTTTTATGGATGTATTAAATTTTATGCTTAATTTTCAGTAAAGAAATCCAAACATTTATCCTCGTAAAAGAAAAGGAAAAAAAATTCATTGCAAGCTACATGCAAAAATAAAAAGGAAAAGTACTATGCTTGCGAACGAAACGATCCCAATTCTTTGTTTCATATGCTAATGCCTAATGCACATAATTAATAGATGTTCATATATATATATATATAAGAAAATAAGAGTAGAATAACAGGGCAGGCACGGTTCTTACTTGTCTATTCTTTCTTGCAACTTGCTTAATAGCTTGTAATTATCTTCCTCGATTTTCTTTACAAGTTTGTCGATGAAAACATGACGTTCAAGAGCTTCAAGCTTGGTAACGTCAACCACCCTCTTGCCTTCCTCTTCTTTGCCATCTTCCTTTTTGTCAAACAATGACAGCGTAAGCCGTCTAAAAGTGGGCAGTCTTTCAATTGCAGCCCACTGTAGCTCAATTTCATCTTCATTTTCATTCAAGCTGGAAAAGGATGTTGCGTTGCAATCAGTGGTAGCAGTACTCATGAAGCTTGATGCATGGGCTTGAAATGATGTCCTGATGCTTTTCTCTGTCGCCTCTTGAATTTCCATTCCCAGGGAATCTGTCTTTTGATCTTTATTCCCAGTGACAGGAGCTGCCATTTGTATGTTAATTGTGCTCAAAACCTGAGGACTCAGCGTTACGCGTGGATCCAATATATAGACCCGAAAAAACAGCCATAAACCCATTTTTAAGTAGAGTATTTTAAAGGTTTTAATTGGCTGAAATGAACTAAGATTTGTTTGCTTTTCTTAATTATTTTTACTGACAAGGAATCTGGTAATCTTCTTGAATTCTGCTTAATGTGTTTCTCTTGTATGCTCACATAGTACGTTAATTTTGCCTAAAGACAATACCTCTCTCCTTTTTTTTTTTTTTTTGTGCTTTTAAAATGTTTACTAGGGCTGTCACAATATTTTTATTAATTTGTAACTGAGTTATGTATTCCATGGTAATTAAACTCAACTTGCAATTAATTTAACTGCATCTGACGTTTGACTTGAGATCTTGTTATGATTTTTTTGGTCTTTTTAATTAATGAGATTCGAATCCGATCGATATTAATTAATTAATATATGGATTTCTTATGATCACGAAAGTCGGATTTTTAATTAAGGCAACAGTCAGCATTTATTTATTTATTTTACTTTTTAAGGCAAAAATGGTCGAATTCATCTACCTATACACCTTTGCATAATTTTGTTTTTCCAATTTAGACAGTGCATCATTAATTAATTCATCATCTGTTCTGAGTAAGTAAGTAAGTTTTGAGGTAGATTAGCCATTTTTGTCATCATTTCACATGTTTAAAACTTCTATTTGCAACCATATTCAAATGCAAAAAAAGCCAGACAACGCACACCCAATTTTGCATACGCACTCACAATTACGGTTGAAGTTGAAAATGGTTAAGATAGCGTGCAGCACCACGGCTGCGAATGTTGTCGTTGCGTCCACTCACATGATAATTAATGCCTTTGGCTTGCGTATAATTAGGTAATTAGAAGTAAAATAATAAATAAAATATGAAGAAGTCTCTGTGTTCCATCAGATTCCTCCGTACTGGGACTGCTGGCAGCCTGAATATAAGCAATTAAAAAGAGAAAAAATAAAAGATATTGCTTGGAAAGAACGTGCATTGAGATTTTCGTTACATAAATGCTAGCTAATTTGATTCAGGAGTGATCTGAAGGCATTGGCAACAACAGAGGGAGGTGATATTTGCACTCTTTATCAACCTAGCTAACTTACTATTGTCGAACCCACACCATGAAAACTACCACTATATATCTAACCTAGCTAGCAAAATATTTCTCGCTCGGTCAGTTTCTTTTTTCTCAAATATGTTCTATTTCTTTTTTTACCAACTGTAGCGTATCTAAACTAATATTGTCGTTTTGCAAATCATTATCGATCTTTCATCGCGGCCATGCCAACCGCCACCTCAACTTACTATTGTCGTCTCGGTCAACGGATTTTTTCACTCACGTTGTTTGGCAGCTTCACATATGAACTTTGTTTGGTTCTAAATCTGAAGATTAAATGTATACTGTTTACCACCCTTGCCCAGTTACAAATTGAATTTTCACTTATTTGAACTTTTATGCTTTACTGGTTTGGCTGTTAGTAATCCATCTACTAATGTGATGAATCTTCGACATCTAGACAGAATATATAAATGATTTCAAATTTGTGTTTGCTTTTAACTTTATATTTTATTATAAAAATCACAAAATTGAGAGCAGGAGAGGAAGAAATCTCAGTTAGTTGTTTTTCTTAACGTCGACAATAATTGGCACTCTAATTGGCTTGGCCTTCAAATATTTAGCAATAGAAAGGTTGTGTTTCTCTAGCTAAATAAAGACACATGCAGCGGATAAGAGGAAGAGGTCGAGTCAGATATGTTATCAAGAACTATAAGAGTGCGGGTTCTGGGAAAGAGAGAAGTAACTAGAGGAAAATGTGGTAGTTTCTACAGTGTGGGTTCTAGGAGAGAGAGAGAGAGAGAGAGAGAGGAGACGGCAAAGGACAGAGAGAAAAATTCATGATCCTAACTAAGTTGTCAATTTGAGTAGAAAAAAATTGGTGGAAGTGTGGTTTTAATGTAAGAAAAGTGCGAATATCACATCCCAATAAATAAAGTTTTAATGTTTCAAAGGAGATGGATTATCATTGGCCATAGAGTATAAAATATTTTCGGTAGAAGTTTTATAACTAATTATTTTTGTTAAATTACGAAGTTATAATTAACTTCTTTCCATCTCCACTGTTTATGAAATACCTCAATATAATCTAAAAAATAAAATAAATAAATTGAAATTGAAAAAAAAATTAAAGAAAGATATTTTTTTATAAACAAATATGATAAAAAAAATCATCAACATTGCCAGGCATCCTTGATAATATAAGAATAAAATTAAGTTAAAAACAAATTTGAACAAAAATATTTTTAATAACATATCAACTACTATCGTCACTACTTCTCGTACATTCTCTCAATAGCACCTTATATCTATTTTTTTATCCAATTTTTTTATTAAAATCTTGAACAAAGAATTCTATAAAGAAAAAAAGTTGAAATCTCATATGATTGAAATGGTAGTTTGAGTATTGAGTTATTTTGACATTACCTAAAACATTATTATTTGTACATATTAAAAATGTTATTTAATGACAACATAAAAAAAAGAAAGGACATGATAGTTGAGAGGGGTTGGAACATGAGCGGTTTGACAAAAAAAAACTAAATTAAATTAAGAGAGAGTAAAATTAATTTTCATTTTCATTTTCATTTAACTATATTATTAATAAAGAAAAAAAAAGGTTTCGAAGTGGGAATTAAAGTTGTAATGTTTTGAGGATTTCTTGACAAATTAGCTCTTTCAAGTTTTATCATATTTGTTTTAATTAAAAAAAAATTATTGATTTTTTGTTTTGATTTTTTAAATTTTAATTCATCTATTTCTTTTTATTTTTTGGATAATATTGAAATGTTTTGTAAATTTCAGAAATAAAATTAAAATTTACACACCAGACATAAATAGGTGGAGGGGTAATAAGAATAAAAATAAAAACTACAGCTGCTACTTGAAACAAAAGTGGAAGAGAGAAAAGCTGACTAAAACAAATTGAAAAAAAAAAAAATGAAAGTGTAACAATACATAAATCTGAGGCTACAAACTGAAATTTACCCAAAAAAATGCATAAAAAAACATCCCTTCGTCCGCTCCTCTCTGGCTCTCCCTGCTTATCTAAGTAATAAGAAGCCGCAAATGTAAAAGAAACCCGAAATCATCAGTTTCATCTCTTTCGATTTCTTTCTCGAACTCTTTGCTAAAAAAAAAAAAAAAAGTTTGGGACTTTACAGCTTTTTCATTCGAAAGTACTGCTTCTAGCGACTCCGAATCTGAATCAACAGCTATAAAAATAAAAAAGTTGAAAGACAACCCACGGGTTTAGCTCTTTTCGTTTTAGGAATAATTTAAATTAATAGACAATTACTTTTAACAAACATAATTAACTAGTTAATTGATCCTTAACACTAGCAGAGCTTCATCTAATAAGCTACAATATATCTGGACTCATTGATCATTGACAACTAATATATATTTGGAATAAATTCAAGACCAAGAACTCTCGACAACACTACAATTTTTGTTTTATTTTATTTTTTTATTATGATGAAAATTATATTCAATACTTCTCCTTTGCCATATTTACATGCTTAAATGAAATACATTCATGAAAATAAATTACTGTAGGTTGTACATAAATGTGAGAGAACGGCATGGACATTAGAGACATCGATTAATTGTGTGGGGCAATTGAGAGTTTATGACTCGAGCTTAAAATCACACTCAAAACCATAATCTACCTCAATTAATTAAGGTTGAAGTCACTAATCTTGGGTTAACAAGTAATTAGAGGATTGAACCAAGGAAAACAGTACTGCATAACAGCAGAGGCCTTGGGAACCAGACACTGTCCAAATTCAGAATTGAGAAACTGCATGAATGACAACATAGAAACCACAGCCTGTTTCTAAACACTTGTCCATCTCTGTTCAGTTACAAGACACAAGTCACCCAACATGACTTCCTTTCCACCAAAGCAACAGAGCATATATTCTGCTTTCATCTCTAGTACCCTTTTGGCCCTTTTCAGAGCTGTTTTCTTTTTCTCTCTTGCCTCTTCTCCTTAATTAGCTAGGTAATTCTTTAAGAGCATGGTATTACTAATGTCACAATGGCCTTGCTGAAACTTTAGCTAATCTGTATCGCATTTTCTCATCTTACCACTATAAATATGCTCTTCCCATCAACTCTCACTTGCTCTCTCAAAATTCCTTTGCTGCTCTAACAACAAAACGAAGATGGAGATGGCAAAGCATCCCTTGGCCTTCCTTCTTCTGGCCTTTGCTTTGCTTCTTTGTCTTGCTGCTTCTACAGGTCTGCAAGTTTTTACATGTTTTGTTAAACATTTTCTTTTAGATTTCGAGTTTAACTTATTCCATACTTAAAAATTGTATGTCTCTCACCATGCAGAGTCACAATCCTCTGGCGGAAACCAGGACCAGATCAGGGTAAGGGACAAATAGTGTATCTGTGATGGGGCCACGGCATTATTTATACCACCCCTTTATTTATTTATTTATTCCCCCTCTCGCAAGCACTCCTGACAAATCAATAAAATGCTTTCTACTTAATTTGTAGGCAAATGATGTTCAGGGCAACTGGTGCATTGCTAAACCATCGGCATACAATTTTCAGCTTTTGCGCAACATAGATTATAGCTGTGGACAAAATGGAGTGGACTGTCGGCCAATTCAACCAGGTGGTAGCTGCTTTCGTCCAGACACTGCCTTTGCACATGCCTCATATGCCATGAATCTCTTCTTCAAGGCTGCAGGAAAGCACCCATGGGATTGCCATTTCAATGGTACTGGCATTGCTGTTACTCAGGACCCATGTAAGTATCCAGTTGAAATTCTTGTGCTTGTACATTAATTAAATAACGATATTTAATTCGTCCTTGTATTAATTAAATAACTATATTTAATTCGTCCTTGTAATAAAGCATCAACTAACCAATTTAAGGACGTGTCTTCATGTTGTTTGCAGCCTTTGGTACCTGTACCTATCCCATGTGATGATAAGAGAACTTGAGACAAGAAGGGTTTTCATATTTATTAGTAGTTGAATAATTTCTGATTAAAGGATCCTAAATTATCATGTCCTATCTTGTAATGGGAGAAAGAGTGACAATCTCATTTTGTGAAAACGGTGCCAATGCATTCCTTTGAGGATCTTCTTGTTTACATCTTTATAGTACAATTTTTCTCTTTTCGGAAAATGAAAAACAAAGATTACTCGGATCTGCTCAGGTTAAAGAATCTGGGCAAGAAACATTTTTGGCAAAGCTTAAAGCACAGAATTTATACACTGATTACATAAAAAATAAGGAAAATGGTGGACACAGGTCAAGAAAATTTTATGATTGCATCTCAATTGGTTGGCGGGGCATATTGGTGCCCATCTATTGCTAGTAAGTAGAGAGATGTCATGAGTATACGAACTTGGAAAACCACAGTAATCGTGATCTACTAAATATTAGTAAGTAGTAACCAACATGTTTAATATGGGTGGATAAGTTCAATTTAAGAACAAGCAAGGACTAATGTGGGTGGCAAGTTGTGCGGATCTCTGATTACCAGAACATCTGTTCCCATTAGATTTGTTGTCTTAACGTATGAGAACAGGTTGTTCTAAATATGATAGCGCATGGAAGAAGAGTCAATGAATAGTTTATACTCTCACGTTTTGGTTCCCATTGGAAGTATTTTGCAAGGCAAACAAGGAACTAGGAAATTCATCCCAAAGAGAAACGAAAACTAAACTGTATATGAACCAATGAGGATTCTCACAAGAAAAAAATAAAAATTTCTTGAAAAACAAATAACTGCATTTATATGGAGATGAGAAATGATCCAGTGCAGTGGAATAGAATGACAAGTAATTAGAGAGTTTAAAAGAAAAACATACGACAGACCACCCATTGAACGATGCTTTCAGGAACTACATGCAATTCAAACGTGTCTTCACACAAAGCATGTTTTAGAGTGGTTTCATGGTTGACAACTCCAAGGAGATCCCGAATGAAATTCATCTTGTCGATCTCCTTGTAACATGCACGAGGACTAGCATGTGCGTTTAACATTACTTGTATTGCGTGCATAATCCTATGTCAGTTAGGATCTTTAGGGAAGATACGGGAGCAATATTCAGTTTTTTGAAGGCTTCCCAATCAATGGCTGATGACATGGTCGAGCTGATTTACATTACGTGCCAACACAGACTGAGAAACTTCACATCAACCTATAACACCAAGTTGGAAACTGGAAGTAAGGCCATGCCAATCAAATTGCAACGCATGTCTTAATTGAAAGCAGAGCGCTACAGAGCAATAATTTGTTTCGTCCGAAGAACACATCACTAGATGATGATGATGCTCTATAGATACATCATGCAAGCTTAACAGGCATTTGTTACTTCCAGTGCCTTCAACTCAACCAAAATTCTCACATTTTCACACCACCGACACTGGGAATAAAATGCAAAAAAAGATTAAAAAAAATCAAATAACAAAAAAGAGGAAAATGAATAGGGTATCTTAATGTATGAAATTAGACCATGATTGATTGCTAACGATATAGACCAGCCAGCAAGAAAACAGGCCAAATTATTCATCAAGTACCAATAAAACAAGCATTGAACAGTAGGAATAGGATAAATCACTCTTAAGCTTGGGGCTTCTCCCATTTAAGGGGCTTGACAACCTCCCAGGTGAAGTCTGGGTCATCCCTTCCAAAATGTCCGTATGCAGCTGTCTTCAAGAACCTATTGCCACCCCTCTTGAGATCCAGGTTGATGGTCATCATTCCAGGCCTGAAGTCAAAGTTCTCCTTCACAATCTTAAGAATCTCCTTGTCAGGAATTTTTCCAGTGCCATAGGAGTCCACAAAGACTGACAAAGGCTCTGGTACCCCAATAGCATAGGAGACTTGCACAATGCACCTACGAGCAAGACCATTTGCTACGATGCTCTTGGCAGCCTGCCTTACAATGTAAGCACCACTTCTATCCACCTTAGTTGGGTCCTTCCCTGAGAAAGCACCACCACCATGGGCTCCCCAGCCACCATAGGTGTCAATGATGATCTTGCGTCCAGTGAGACCTGCATCACCATGAGGGCCACCAATAACAAAACGGCCAGATGGGTTAAGGTGGAAGATAGTTTTCTCATCAAGGTACTTCTCAGGAATGACAGGCTTGATGACTTGCTCCTTTAGGTCCGCGGCAATTTCATCATTTGTGACAGTCTCATCATGCTGAGTGGAGATGAGAACAGTGTGGACACGAACAGGGACCATTGCACCATTGTCATTGTAGTACTCAACAGTAACCTGAGTCTTGCCATCAGGTCTTAGCCAAGGGCAGGTGCCATTTTTCCTAACCTCAGTGAGGCGAGCCCCAAGCTTGGTGGCAAGTACATGGCTCAAAGGCATATACTCAGGGGTCTCATCAGTGGCATAACCAAACATATGGCCCTGGTCACCAGCACCAATATCCTCTGGGCGCTTGGTAAAGTGACCGTGGACACCCTGGGCAATATCAGGACTCTGCTGCTCAATGTTAACCAACACTTTGCACTTGTCAGCATCAAGACCAACGTCATCAGAAATAAACCCAATGTTACGGCATGTGTCACGAACAATCTTTTCATAGTCTATCTTGCCCTTGGTGGTGATCTCCCCAAAGACCATGACCATGTTGGTCTTTGTACATGTCTCGCAAGCAACCTTGCTTTCTGGGTCCTGCTCAAGGCAGGCATCGAGCACCGCATCAGAGATCTGGTCACATAGTTTGTCGGGGTGGCCCTCATTCACTGACTCAGATGTGAATAGAAAGGTTTCCATTTTCTACAGCTGCATATCATAAAATCCACAAAAGACTTAATATGGTGATGAGTGGCAACTGTGTGCACTAAGCGTGCTTAATTAGTGTAGCAGGCAAGATTCCATCGATGCGTTAGAACAAAGAAAAAAGAATAAAGCCAAAAATATCCTCAAGATTGATTTAGATTCTTCAAATTTTTTCAAAAAAAAGTTACAAAATGGCAGAATCTAAGTACAAGAAATGACAAAATTCGTCTATATTCCTGAAAGAAAGCAACAAAAAAGAAACAAAGAACAATTAGATTCCTTTGGCACTGGAAGGAGATAAACCCCTATAGATAATAGAATCACTTGTCAAAAACAAAAAAAATCAACAAACCAACAAAACATCTACCGATAGTATAAACTCAGGCATTAACATGCTATTTTTAAATTACCAAACAGTAACAAAAATATCAGTATCACGCACAGAGTGAACTCCCAAAGTATCACAAGCCCCTTTATGAATTCAGGATGTTTTGCACAGTCCATGACAGTTTCCTTTCTACCATTAATCAAAAGTACAGACCCCAAACTTGCCTCAATTACTTACAGAAGTGTAAACTTTTTTCTGATATAACTCGTTAGTCCAATTGTACGAAGGAACTAGATCTAAACCAGAGTCACCTTGAGACGACTGTGACAGCTTTATGCTGCCCTACATGGTCCTTCCAATTATACGGGAAAAAAAAAAAAAAAAGAATTTAGACTCTCGTGGATACAATAAAAAAATCCCATTAAAAAGCTATCAAATAGATAAAAATAATCAGATCTGCCGTACTCTACTGATAATGTAAAACGCATGCCAAACTTAATCTTTCAGACATCATGTACTGCATCAACCAACATTCAAAACGAAATCTTTATAGTCACACAACAATAGCAGACCAGAGTAAACCAACCTTACAAAACAAATAAATTAAAACACCAGCAAGTACCCAGATCTGTAACTGTTGGAACCAAATATACTAAAAAAACTAAAGACCAAGACCACTCTTTGATTTGAAAACCAGCATTAACATACTTTTTTCCTAGAGTCTATGAACAAAAACCCATGAAGAGAGCATGGAAGGTAAATACAGAGGAGACAGTATTAGTAGTGCTAGCGGAGGGCAAAGAGATACCTTAGACTAGAGTAACCCGTACAGATCTAAAGAAAACCTTAAAGAGTTTGTCGGCCGCTTTGCGTGTTTCTAACAGACTCCAAGAATTCGGCGGTGGCACAATAACACGACTTTAGTTACTCAGTATTTATAGGCCAACTTCCCTACCAACTGGTTACCGGATGAGGGGGTTTGGATTCTTTTAGATCTGTGGAGGAATCTGTATCTAAGGGTGCTAATTACTTTAAGTACAAAATATAGCCGTTGGATGTCAGAATTTTTGGGGGTGGGGTCGGTTGGGGTTGGTGGGATATAGATACAGTTACCAAGTAATTTTATTTTTCAAGGTGCTGAAAACGTGTGTGTGTGTCGCATTTTCTTTAATACTTTATAAGAGCATACAATGTTTTTTTTTTAACCGATTATTTTTTCTGAATTTAGAATGAAGTCTTAAACATTTTCAGTAATATGAAATTTTTGGAATATATCTGAATTTCATAATTACGAATTGAATCTAATTATATGCACAGTACAATTAAAAAAATATTAAATATTAAAAAAATAACAAGCAAAAAATTTTTAAAAAAATCCATACAGGCAGTTTAACCATGATCTTAAAATGAGATGTCCTTGTGAATTTCACTAATCCAAGATTCATGTGTATTATTTAAAAATAAATTTATTATTTTCTTCATTCCAAAAAAATTGTCTCTTTTAATTTTTTATACAATTTAAGAAAGTTATTAATTATTGTACTATATTAGTATTTTTTGTTTATATTTTGCTAAAATATTATTTTTGTTAAACTTGTTAATAATCAAATTTTATCATGCATTATATGAAAAAAAATATTATTAAAGGAGAAAATTTATCTAAAATTAAGATGGTAAATTCAAAAAAAAATTATTAAGTCAATTAACAATCAAATTTAAAATAATTATGAAAAAATAACTTGCTAATGAAATATTTTACTCTCAAAATTTTGACATTGAGTAAAATCCTTATAAAAATGAATAATTTTATATAAAAAAAAATCTTTTAAGATTTTTATGTTAAAAAATTGTATACATAAAAAGAAACTATTTTTTATTAGTAAAGAACAAGAATGATATAAAGAATTTATTTTTAATTAATTAAAAATATTTTTAAAATATATTATTTGAAATAAAAATAAGTAGGAATGAGACATAAAAAAATATGATTATTTTTTAATATCTAGCATTATTAGTTAAATAATAGAGCTTTTGGAAAAGAAAAGGAACTCACTGTAGTTAGACGCCAATTTGGCTGGTTACTATGACATTTTGTTTTGATTATTGATTGAAATAACCGGAAAGGCTGGTTACTCACCAACTTTAATCGGTGGCCGGCTCAATTGCTTGAGTGGTGAGCTTGGCTCTTTGTCTGCGGCTTGAGAAAATGGGCTTGGCTCTTTGGATTTCAGGTAATTGATAATGACGTGAATAGTTAATCCCACGCGCAGCATGAAGGTTTATTTGTTGGGTTAATGATGCAGAATTCTCTCTATTATTTCTTTCGTCTGTCCTTTTTTTTTTTTTTATCTATCTTGTGTGCATTTTTTTCGTTTGGTTTCTATTTAAATTGATATCATTATAAAATTTTTGAGTTAATAGTGTTAAATCACACTCTTAGTTTTATAGAATTATGATATGAGTAAGTTTTTTTTCATCTTAATCTCTTCTCTCCACTTTTTTTCTTAGTGAAAAAAAATAAAAATAAAAAGTGAAGATAAAATTATTTTTTTCTAAAATATTTTTTATGAATTTATATTTATCTCCAATAAGTAAAATTTTTAATATAAGATAAAAAATTTATAGTATCTTTTAAATTTCAAAAAAGTTTTTGTTAAATTTTTGAAAAATATTTATAATCTTTTAACCATTTTTTAGTGAATGTTTCTAAAAAATAAATATTATATTTCCACATTTGAATCAAATTAAAAAAAAAATCAAATAAAAATAATTAATAGGCTCTTTTGAAGTGATATGAAATTATAAATACTATTTAAAAATTTAAAATTTTAACTAAAACTATCTTAATATTAAAAAAAATATTGTAAATATTTTATTTTATGCTCAAAATTTCTTGAATATCATGAAGATAAATCTAAACTCATAGAAGATGTTTTGAATAAAAAAAATATTTTTATTTTCATCTTTTTTAGTTAAAAAAAGAATTGAAGGACGAAATAAAAATTTTAAAAAAAAATTGACATGTGCTGCAATCTTATGAAGCTAACAGTGTGATTTAACATTTTAGCTCAAAAAATTAATAGAAAAAATGTAAAATAGAAACCAGATATAAAAGAAAAAATTAAGAATGAAGAATATTAAAAGATGCGATGCGAATAGAAAAAAGAGTAAAAGTACCTCTGCAGCTATTAACCCTTTATTTTCAGCAAATATATTATTGGATTATATGGGCATTAACCCTTTATTTTCAGCAAAGATATGATTGGGTTATATGGGCCTTAACCCTTTATTTTCAGCAAAGATATTATTGGATTATATGGGCAAATGGCACGATTGATGATGATAATCCAAAGACACTGATTAGGTAGAAGGATATTTTTTTATTTTTTATTTTTAACTTCGAACGATAAATTAGTGGGAAAAATAGAATGTGAGAGTAAAATAATTACGAAAATACAAAAAAATTATTAAACCTCAAAGAGACAGATAATTTATTATTGAAACCTGTATATTGAAATAAAGATACAATATATATATATATATATATATATATATATCATACCTCAAAGAGATAGAAGAGTATTTCATTTTTTTAAGTGGTTGATATGATTATAAATTACTTAAATAAACTGTGAAATTGAAAAAGTATACGTTATATCAATTGATTTTTCAGGACGATTGATCAACATCATTAAAGTTTAATTTGTTTAATGAATTCTTCTACCAATTATATATCCTCATAACTTCTTAATTAATCGAACAAGATCTTGTTCAAAAATTAAATGAGCCTTCAAGAGAAGTTGGGAACTATTAAATTGTATATATTGAAGTACAAAATTATTCCTATTTAGATTATCAGTGCATGAAAGCTGATTGGATGGTTTAATTATGAGATTAAATTGCCATGGATCTTCCAAAGGTTTATTGTGATAATATCAAGTTCTGTAATGTCAAATAATTCCATATTGGAACAAGTGACGGTGTTCGTGGTTTTAGAAAGTCTACGCAGAAAAAATGCATCATCATAGGTATTTTATGACCATTATCGTGGCTATGTCACGTGCAAAAACTCAAATATCTATAAATATTTACTACTTAAATAATATGTCAAATATAATCCTAATACCAGTATTTATATAAATTAATTATAAAATTACTGAATGTGAATAAATAGCATACACTAAAAATATAATAAAAATTAACCAAAATAAATGAAAAAATTACTTTTTTACTAAAATGTAATAGTCATCACATCCATTACATAAAATTGATTTTCGTTACATAAGAATTGTTATGTTCGCAATACCTATAAAAATGATGCACTATATTATAAAATTAATATGTGTGTGTATACACGTGCAGTGAGAGATTAAATCTAATAACATTACTTGAAAAAATAACTAATTTATGTTTAAAATTGTTTACATTATCTCCCTGTCAGTTATCATTTAGATAACTTTCCCACTTTATGTAAACTATAGATTATAAGATAATGTTTTCATTATACAATTATTCGGACCACTAAAATCAGTACCGTTTTCTTGCTTATTTTCTTATTTCCTTTTTTTCATGCTCGCATTAGATCAATGAGAATTTTATCTAGCCCAGTATCCGATGTGCATAAAATTTAAGTTCCATGTCAACCTTTTTCTTCATCCATACATAA